CTCCCACAGCATTATTTTTTTGTGGAACTCTTTATTGAAAGCAAAACTTGAAGCTCGTTAAGAGGCAGAACCAAATGTTTGTGAGCCTTTGTTACCGGTTACAGATTTGCTGATGGGCATCACGGTATAACCTTAGGCAATGAGTTTTCTGAGAGCAGTTGTGACAAGAGAGGTTTGTCTTTTGTCAAAACACATGATTGGTGGAATAGTTGTTGTTTTTTTCTCTACAAAACAGTTAAAAATTTCAAGCAGTGCTTATTGAGATGTGATGTTCAGCCCCACTCATGACACATTTAGCCCTAAAGGGGTGATAATCTGCCCCCACAACATGAGTGAAACAGACATTCACCTGTCACCTTAACACAACATACAACCTTCTTTTTTCACTTCATTAACAAGTCACCTCCAGGTCATGCCTTCTGAAATGTTCCTGCCTGTTTTAACACCGACTTGTTTATTCCCCTCACACTCGTAGAGACTTAGAAAAGCCTATTTCTGACTGCCTTGCCAGTTTAGTCTATGTTAAAGGTGACATTCCTCTTAATTCTGCAAAGTGGGCTCTGCAAGATTTGTGCCACATAATCTCTTAAGAGGGTGTTGTAATAAGTGGGAAAATAAGTAAATAAACACAGTCCTAACAGTCATTTTTTCATGCTGCCAAATTGGGTTGGAGATGGAATTTGTGCAGAGGCTTTGTGAATGCTCTTACATGGTTGTTGTTCCATTTCCTCTGACTTTCTGTTAGTCTGTTATCAGGCTGTTGACATTTCAGGCATGTACAAGGCAAAGTCCTGTCGCCCCGAGCATGCGACTGCATTGGATGCACCTCTTTGCATTTGTCCCCTCCAAAAAAAAAAAAGGTCTCTTGATTCTTTTCTAGGTTTGTGTCGTTCTATCATATTTGTCAGTCGTTCCTCGTCATGCTAATTGGAAGACGTCGGCGACCAGGCGGAGGGATGGTTCATTTGTAACCTCACCTTGTTACCCAATCAATTCCAGCCAGACAGGTTGTATTAGATTTAATACAAACTGGGTTAAAGTGGGCCAATCTTCACCTCTCAGACGGCCGAGTGCAAAGAAATGTGCGCTGGAGAAATTGATGAAGTGAGAAGGAGGCTCTATTATGCTGCCAAGAGCCCTCGCCATGTGGCCACAAGGACAGCTGGATGGGATAGTGATAGTGCTGCTAGTGGTGACGTGATTGTGTGTGTGTGTATGTGTTGGTGGGAGGATGGGTGTTAGTGGAGTTGTGCAACCTCGGATTCACAATTTCTATTGTCACCATATGGGATGAAGCATGCCCACACACATACGCACACAGTTTGTAAACCCCCCCCCACACACACACACACACACACTCCTTGCAAACGGAGCCCACACTGACACACTCTTGCTTTATCATTCTGTACGACGATACATCAGACACACTAAAGTGGGGGGAAGGTGACACACATACACTCACACAGCTCTTCCCCCGTACATGGCTAAATGTCACAGTCAGACACGTATTGATCGGCTGAAGATATTGCGTGAAAGATGGCCATGTTGGGACATTCACACAGGCATGTGAAATCACGCACGCTTTGCCAGGTGCAAAGGGAGATGGGAAGAGCTGATGTGTTTACAGAAAGACCTTATCTTGTCCTTTCATTATGGAAATGTGAGGAAATCATTGAGCTTCCTCCGGAGTCTCACCTAACTCTGCGCGGCACCTTCGCTGTCAGACTCTCCTGATTTGTCTCGATTTGATAAAACGACTATCTGTGTCTGTGTTTGTTCAGACATGTTTATAAATGGGAGGCAGTTAATACAGCCTGTGTGGCTTTTTTTTTAAGTGTATGCTCTCTAAACAGAACTCCAATATTCCCCTCATGCCAATTCCGGCTCCTATCCTTTCCTGCGTTTCTTGAAGTCCCCCCCAGATGGAAATCAGTTACCATCGTGACTGACTGGGAAACGGCTTCAGCAGACACTTCATTATTCACCTCTAACACCAGCCTCGCCTCTTCTCTCCCCTCTCCTCATTTTTCTCTACCTCACACTCTCTCTCTTTCTCCCCCGAAGCCCCGGCTGTTGACAAGCAATTTGAAGTGAGCCTAAATTTAAAACTCAGCTGTGCCTGGGGGACGCTGACGGGTATCGCAGAAGTCCTGAGGAAGGCTTCGGCGCTGTGGTTGACGGGGGCCTTCGTGAAATTTTTTTTTTTTTAAATGAGTTAGTGGGGTAATTGATGTGATGTGTTTTATCTTCCTCATTATCCCTCCCAGCACAGAGGCATCGGAAAGACGGCCGGTCTGCTGCACATCGGTTTTGAACGTGTGTGTTGGTGTGTTTGTTCAGTACAGGCAGCTCTGACAACTCACTGGGGCTCTGCTCGGTGAGTCAGACAGAGAAGTTGACTGCAGAAGCGCAGATGGTGGTTTGGTTAGGTCGTGCTTAGTATTCCAGTGGCCTGTTGCGCTGTGGCCAGTGTAACACCACGGTGTGTCTCTTTAACGTTGTGTTGGGAGATGTCCATTTGCTGAAGTGGTGACAATGGTTTTCTTTTATTTGAGAAACAGATGCATTTAGTTTGACTGTGTTTTGTTGTATTTAAAGTAGAGGCACACTTTTCTTTATTGTTTTGCAGCCATATATAAGTTAAAGCTTGCTATAATACTTTCTATAATCTCGGGTACTTTCCTGTCGGGATAGGTGTCTGACCTTCACATTAAAGCGGGTAGATCAGTGGATAAACAGGCCAGTTTTGGGCCCATTTCCCCCTCCAAAAATTACTTTTGTAGTCGTGGAGGAGGAATTTGGTGGTTTTCATCAGATTTAAGAGTGATCCAGTCTGTAAAGAAGAATATTGGGGCCTCATGGATTTCAGAATGTAAATTTCAAACATGTTAAATTTTCCTATGTGGGGGACCCCGAGGACAGCCGGGGACGCACTCTGTTGATTGTCACTTGGAATTAAACGTTAGCCAATTTGGCAACAAGCTGATGGAAGAAGAACAACATCCGCACTGAATGAGTTTTTACTGACGTCATGCTTGGACAGCAACATTTGATTAGATTAGATTTTTTTTATGTAAGTAAAGGAAAGTAAATGTTTCCATTTTTTGCATTGTACCAGAGTTAGCTTAGAGCTAATTTACATCTGCGTTTCCTTGGCAGGTCACAGGTCAACCCCGTCCCCACAACTTTCACTTTAGCTTTCCTTTTTTCCCTGTACGTTAAAATGTTCAGTCACACAGTCACTTCCTGCTTGTTGTCAGCCATGTTTAAATACCCTACAGTTGCATTTGACTGTTTTCAGAGTCATGACTCTGACTCTGTGGTAGTCGGTGAATGTTTCAGTGTGTGGTGGGCTGTTTTGGTCGTATTCACATACTATTGGTACAACAGTGTTAAATTTATCATTATTAGTCATCAATTGTGGGGTCTCTCACATTTTTAGCACGTGTTTACTTTTTAAAAATATTTCAGTTTGGGCCAGACTTTATCTTTAATATCTAATCAACAACATGTCACAGAAAACACATTTAAAGCATGGACAGATTTGAACAAACATTGAAAATTACCTGCAATTCTTAGCCCCTTTCTTTCAAATAAATATCTGCCTTGGCTTAGAAATTCAGTCCTACACATCAATCTTTTTTTTTTCTTTTTCTTTAAGCACCAAATACAAAAAAGAAAGATCCCAATTTGCATAAAGAGCAGGTCTACACTGCACTATTTTCTCACTTCTACATTTGCACCAAATACAATCCTGACTTGTGGGTATTTTCCTTTTCTGAACAAATGCCTATCTTCTCACTTTGTTTACAGCTTTGCATCATTTTGTGCCACCTCTATTATGTCTGCTTAGCATTTGCATAATTGCCAAGCTAACCAACAGGCAGATATCCCACTTCATGTTTCTGTTGAGTGCTGAAATGATTAGTTGTTTAATTAATCAGCCAACCAACAGAACATTAATCTAGCAGAATATGAATAGGGGATCAACGAAAGCAAATAAATGGCAACATATTCCAGCTCCAGCTTGTCAATTGTGAGAGTTCGCTGTTTCATTCCGTCTAGTTTTTTTGTAAATAAGATTTTTTTTGTTCCCAACTGTTTGCCAGACGATACAACCACGTTGAAGACATCCCCTAAGGCTTTAGGAAATTGCTTTTTCAGTATTTTTGGGGCAATTTTGAGCTTCAAAAAATAATCATCGGATTAATAGAAAAGTGGAAGTAAATGTTAGTTGAAGTGCTGATTCTGTTTTTGCTTGCTTTTTGTTTTAGTACAACAGTATAGCCTATTTCCCATTACATCTACTCATCCGTTGGCATTGCATTGTGAAGAATGACCCAATTTCCAAACACCAAGGTGTACAAACGGCAAAGGGCTCAGGTTTCATCAGGTTTCATGAGAGTTGTCCCCTGAGTGTTTCTCCATACTCAGTCATTTGACACTACAGGTCTTGTTTTATGGTTCCCACAAGCCAACAAGCATTATATCATGGTCTGCTGGGTGTCGACCTGCAGACTAGCATGATGTCATTTGATATATTATGGTGGGGGGGGGAAGGGAGGGGGGCTGATTTCTTCTGCATGTGTTTGGGGGAGGGGGGTTGGGTAAGCTCTTTGACTGGTGCACAGTGTGTCTTCAGTGTTTGAAATCTCAAATCTCTCACTTTTTAACCTCCCCCCCCAAAAAAAACAAGATCCCTTCCCCCGTTTTCAATTCTCATGTATCAGAAGTCACGCTGTGTGGTTTGGGATGAGAGAGACTTTCAAAACAGCGATGTTACTGCTGGTGCTAACATGTTCTGCTGTCGATTAGCTCAGCTGGGTTCCTGCAGGGCCTTGGTCGTTGCATCCAAAGGTGTTAGATTGAAAAGCAATGCCTGCAGTCAGAATGTCCCACTCTTTTCTTTGTAGCAACTCAATTACTTGGCCTTTTACCCTTGGGAGGTCTGAATCCCCCGAAAACTAAAAACCCATTTCTCTCTCTTTTATCTCTTTCAGACAAACCTCCTCACTTCACTCCGGCGCAGACTCCTGATGGTAAGTCCTCTGTGGTTTCTACTCTGTCCGCCTTCGCTGACCGCTGGTGATTTTGGGTTGTATACCTTCTTGTAATGACCTTGGACAGCGGATCCCAGCCTTTGAAGTGGGCAGCCGTCTGAGCGCTGGGCCACGTTTGGCAGCTCCGCTTTTTGTTTGGGCACTGTTGGTATTTCAGGCACGTGGCCCAGGTCTGCTCAGGGCTTTGATGTGAGAAGGATCTTTTGATGACTTGATTTGATCTGCTCCGCACTGCTAGTTGGGCTGATGTTCAATATCTGTAACCAGAACAGCATTCACATCCGTCTGATAGGGTCTAATAGGATAATAACCCTCCCTTCTCTGGGTATGCTACATTACCTGAGTGTCTCTCCTCAAAATGAGGTGACAGCAATGGAAGGTCCATGAAGATGAATCACAGCGCTTTTTTCCTTTTTCTATAATTTTGTGTGGAAAATCTGAGATTCATTTGCATGCGATTTAATTGCACAAAAGAACACAGAGCAAAATGTTGATTGCTGTTGTAGTCATGGTCGCTAATAACACATTTTCCTGCTTTGAAGAGCTGATGTGTTTTGGTAGGTAGAGCCTCTTTCACACATGCACTCCTGAAAATATCTAGATAATTTCAGGAGGACTGCTCAGGAGATTCTCTTGACTTGGCTGTTCACATACGAACCTCACAGCGTGGGACTGTCCCTGTCAGACAGGAGGGGGGGGAGGGGGTCTACTGAGGTAAGACGTGACATAAAAAAAATACACAGAAGCAGCAGACGAAACAACGGAGTCCGCTATACGATGCTATAATGACAATATGTCCCCCCCCTCTCCCATTGGCTCAAGGTGAATTTTCCGGATAATATCCTGCTGCGTTCTCACATCAGCTCACTCGGACTTGCTGTGGAAAAAATACTAGGGGGTCTGGCAGGAGAAACTCCGGGTGAAGTCTGAGTGAGAAACGTTTTCTGCAAATGTGAAAGCCCTGTAGGAGTTATCCAGGCTAACATCACTTGAGGACCGGGAGACATTGCTCTCTTTTTTAAATAAACAGTAGTGTTACTTGAGACCTTATCACAGACTTTTTTTAAAAAGTGTCTGAAGTTTAAAAGTTTGACAGTAAATAAGATCAGTTGATGTTGGTCATTCTGAAAGCTTAAACTGTGCTCTGTTGATTTTGATGAACAAAGATGTAAAAGAATCATAGCCCACTCTAAATACAGCAAATTCAAGAAAACTTTGAAACAAGAAAAGAAAAGAAAAGAAAAGACTAAAGTGAATTGACCTTGAATCTGCCTTTCTTTAAAGAATGCATTCATTATTAAGCAACAGTTGTTACTAGGGAGCTTTACAACTTTATATCTGTTACCTAGCATGCCACCTCACTGTATCTTCCACATCTTCAAAAATACATTAAGAAACATCCCAGATGCTGGGCCCTGATGGTGTGTAAACTTATGCCCTGCAGGCAGCTTTGCCTGTAATACACTTTTAGAGATCCTGCGGTCTGTAGGCCCAGGGGCGCAGCTCCTCTCATTATTCACATGTGCTCATCACGTCTCTTACATATAAATCTTTGCAATGGCTGCTGCGTTGTTTTAGTTGTTTTTTGAGACCAGTAGCACGAGCTGTTAATTAAAAAAAAGCAACAATTTATTTCCAAAACGGTGCATCTCTGCCGCCTTTAATTGGAGGAAAACAGCTGGTTTTCAAGCTGCTATCATGAATATTTATCGGAGGCAGCACAGTGAGACGGTGTTTGATAGACTTTGGTGTTGTGTTTTTCTCTGTGCAGACAGACAGCTAGGGATGGACTCCTACTAGTTCTGTAGGTGTTGTATATTCCTGCTTGTGTACCAGCTACAAAGCTAGAGGTCTGGAGGAAGAAAACACACGGAGAAAATGTTTTTAATGATCCCAGCCCGCCAGCTCATGGTGGGGACAAAAGGCCGCAGTGGGGGCTTGCTGAATCTGTTTCTGATAATTGCTCAATCACTCGCCCCATAGGCCAGCTTGTTTGGAAAAGTGTTGTGTGAACGATGTCAGTATAAAAAATGTATGAAATTTTATGTGGTTTATGATGAATGTGATTGTCAGGCCCATTCAGGACAATAGGCTGTTCACCATCAATGTGACAAAGTTCAAATAATTGAACTTGATTGGAGCATTTCTCAACTCACCCTCACCCCAACACCTGAGGAGCATTTGACATGTCTATTTTTTCCTCCTCTGTGCCTCATATCCCCACAGCGCAAGAGATTCAACTGCAGCCGGCACAGTTTACAGCAGCTATTTATTTTTGTTTTAATGAAAGATGAAATTGCTTGACAAATGATTATATCTTACAGAGAGGTCTCTATTTGTCTGCTCAGAAGCAAATATTGCCACAAAATGTTTCTCTCTGCTGCGAAAATGAGAAACAGTATGCGAGCAGTGAAGCAGTCCATTCCTGTCTTCCATTGAATTTCCCCTACAAAAGAAATAACGCCCTGCTTATCGATCGAGCCACTCATTTTCCATGTATTAAAGTTTTTGCTGTCTGACGGAGCAGTTTGTTTCTGCACTAGTCAACCGTTTAAAAGCTGCTGCTAGCCTTTAATTACATTTCCAATAGTTCTGTAGGCTTTCCATCAGCAGCCTATGCTGTTTTAATATGCCAAGCAAAACAAAGGGAACAGTACCCCAATCAGTGGGGTAAGCCTGCCCTGTGGGACGCAGTTACTGCAGGTCATTTAATGCTGGGGGAGATTAGTGGGACAATTAGGCTTGGCCCAAATACGACAGTAGGCCACTCTTTTTTCCGACACATTTATTAGTTGTGAAGGGGTGATTTAGAAGATGCTCTAAACCAGCAGAGGGCTAATATAGCCCTGCTATTTGTCAAATCTGCTCAAAAGAGCAAAGGGCTTGTACTGCTGAACTTGTCCTCAGTTGCCAAGGACATCCTGCTCCCGGGTACTTCATTACAGGAAACCACAGACAAGATAGCAAAGGAGTCTTCCTATTTAAAGTGCCTCATTTGTGTCTGAACTGCAGCTGATGAGACGTCCTTATTAGCGTGAGAAGATTCTGCAGAAAGTGAAGGAATTTGTTCAGCAAATTAGAGCGAGAGATCATGCGACTGGCTGAGGGGAAAATGCAGGTTCAGCACAACATAAGCAGAGCTCTAAGATGATATTTAAGGTGGGGCGCCACCCGCAAATAGCTGACGAATCCTCCCCAATGAACGGCCTATAATCACCAGTCAAAACAAGTGACAAAAGTCACAAAGCAGCCTTTAATTAGCTCTTTCTTTAAAAGCTCAAAGCAGCAGTCGCTTGGCTCAGGCCATACTCATTATTGCCTGTCGTCTCCTGATAATAAGACAGTTGTTGCGTGTTGGCCAAAGCTAGAAAGCAAAGAGAATTTGCAGCTTGAGGGATTACTATTGGACTTTTCTGTCGACTCAGAAATGGTTGATGATGAGGCTCTTGGCCCTAAGTTGTCAGTGTCCACATCTAGAGAATATAACGTACTTGGTCTCTGTTGAAGGACATGTGAAGGACACGTGATCACATCGATGATATCTCATCTATATGTTAAATTTGACAGCGTTCATAAGAGATTTGTACCGTAACAGGATATTTATATCCTTTTATTAATGCCTTATCTAGTTGTAATTTAAAAGTAATAAAAAAAAAGATTTTATCACATGAATTCTGTCTCAAGGTCTTCAGGCTGAGAAGAAAAGTATAAACGGCTTCCCTGAAGAATTCTTCATTTCATCCTTTTTACAACCAGAGGCGACTAAACACTGGCCACAAAAGGCCCAAAATAGTCTCGAGAGGCTGGAGAGAAAAGAAAGTGTTATGGAGAAAGAGCGTCAAACGGTTTAGAGGTCCTCTGTGCACAAACCTGCCTGGCAGGCGCTCATTCGCTGTGAATCCTTCAATTCCGTATTTGTCACTGACAGCGTTCCCCAGAGGATGCTCCTAACTGACACACGTAATAAACTCCTGGACTGAAATGTGGTTTGATCTGGGACGCCTGAAAAAAAAATTGCCAGCGGGCTGACTAACACTTTAACAACACTTCCTCTTCCAAAAGAATTGACATAACTCTTCTGTCAGCTCGGGGAGAATACAGTAACTATGGCTCCACAACATTACAACTTCAGATAGAGGACACACACACACACACACACACACACACACACACACACACACACACACACACAACACACAAACTGTACTGTGATTTATTCTGCCGGTTTCCCTGTGTTCTTGACAGTAAGCCCGACTCGAATAGAGGCAGAATTAATTATGACTCCTCGGCCTATCTTAATTAAATCATTTCACATCATAGATTTTGCACAACAGAGGCAAAATATCTACCTCATCTCTTAGCTGGGCGGCGGGGGGGGGAGGGTTGCTGGCTGAGAATGTCTCGCATCAAGATATCAAAGGTACACTATAAAATTGCCTCTCCAGGATTACAATTTCACAGCAGGGTCGTCGTGTCCAGCTTGTTAGCCCACTATTGTGCTGGCTGGTGGTTGGAAAGCAAAAAAAAAGAGGGGGCAACGGAGGGCAGCCTTGACTTTATCAGCTGTAAAGTTTGCTGCCCTCTGAATGTACACAGAGATTTTCAATGAACTCTAGAGCCTCACCTTGGTCAGCGTAACCTGCTTGTTTTCTTTGTCAGTGAGTTCTGCACTTATTTATCTTAGCATCCGAAAGGCTAGCTAAGTAGCATCTTTTCAAAAGCAAAAAAAGGTTAAAGGCTAAGAAATTAGCCTCGTTCAACTTCTCCACGTCCAACCATTCGTCTTTGACGGCGTTCCCTCTCAGGCTCTCCTCACCTCAGCTCACCGCAGCTTACCCAGTATCGATCTAACAAGACAGGTTAGAGGCAGCAGTCCAAAGAGCAAAATAAAAAAATACCATCTGTATAGTGAGAACTGCTAGCTGTAGTTGGTAAATATACAACACTGTTTTTGCTTTTTTTCCCCCCCAATGATAGGA